AAGAAAGAAAGAAAGAAAGAAAGAAAGAAAGAAAGAAAGAAAGAAAGGAGTGACTATCCTATCATTCATTTTAATGAATATAACTTTTTGATGTAACATTTTACCTGTTTTATCTTTTTTGTTGTACCTTGCTTAGAGTTGGACAGTTAGTAACTAGAAGAACTTGATGTGTACAATGGCCAACAACAGCTAAAGAACTGGCAGCTGCAACTTCAGATTGTGATGAATAGATAATAACAATTCAAGTTGAAGTGACTAGAAGAATTAAATTTGACTTACATATAACTTTTCACTGAGCAAAAATAGAACAGTTGCTCTCTTTTTCTGCTCCTTTAAGGAGCTGAGTTAACCTAGGGATCCAAAATTAAATATGAGAGTCAGTTTAGACAAAGAATCATAAAACAGAATTTAGAGTGATAGAATGAAAGTTTGGAAAAGAAAGGAAATGATTAACCTGAGTAATACAAAGGCAGGATTTTTATCTAAATCAGTGTTTCTCAACCTTGGCAACTTTAAGATGTATGGGCTTCAACTCCCAGAATTCTGGAAGCACGAGAGCTGCCAAAATTGAGATCAGATCAATGTATATGAATACATAAATGGCACAGAAGTTTATAGGATGGGTGAGTAGGAATATGTGATAAAATGTTATGATGTCATGGCTCAAATGACACAAATTTCATAATTAATATTATTTGTATGAGGATGTAATAACGCATGTAATTCATCATTGCTTCTTCATATTATTCCTATTCGTTCTCTAAATTTTGTGATCAAAAAAATCACTAGGCAGTTAACATTTAAACAACTGACAATAAATGTATCAGTAAATGTTGGTTCTAATAAAACCAGTAAAGTGAATAAAATGCTACAGATTCAACCCAATCCTCTTAGTTTCAGGAGCCTTTAGAACAGCTGCAGCTGCATGGGGGAGGGGTCAAAAAATTAAGGTGCCATTCAATCCTGCAACAAAATCCATCACATTGACTTTTTCCCCCATCCTGACCCCTAGTTTTCTGTATTAGCATTTGGTATCCAGTGTGGTTGCCTTTAATTTCTAATTCTGAAGTACTGAAAAAAATCTGGATTTCAGTAACCAAGTCTGACAAATCAGATGAACTGTTTCAGAAAAATTATTTTTTGTTATTTTGTTTTGTTATATTCCATACAACTTTATGGCATCTTCAAGTTTCAGTGCTGTAAACATGATTGGGGCTTGTGACATGTTGACTAGCAGAGATGGTATTCAGCAGGTTCTGACCAGTTCTGGAGAACCAGTAGTGGAAATTTTGAGTAGTTCAGAGAACCAGGAAATACCACTTCTGACTAGAGATTTTACAGCATCCTTCCCCTGCTACACCCACCAAGCCATGCCCACAGAACCAGTAGTAAAAAAATTTGAATCCTACCACTGGTTGACTAGGTTGTCATATAACAAATCAAAATGTGGCTTGTAGCTTAACTCAATTTGGTCCTGGAAAAAACCCCACTCCTTTGTTTTTTTAGTGATGTTATCATCCTGGGCCTTGTGTCAGCCCACTAGCTTTGAGCATCCATGAAGTTATCAGAATTAAACTTGACGGAAATAAAATTTTATTTTGGGGGGGAAAGACAGAAAAAATATATAATAATATCAGAACTGCTTACAATAAATAGATATACCTCAAGACAAAACCTATCCAGAGTTGCGGGGAAACATGCCAGAGGTGGTATTCAGCAGGTTCTGACCAGTTCTGGAGAACCGGTAGCGGAAATTTTAAGTAGTTCGGAGAACCAGCAAATACCATCTCTGACTGGAGATTTTACAGTATCCTTCCCCTGCCACACCAACTAAGCCACGCCCACAGAACTGCTAGTAAAAAAATTTAAATCCCACCACTGAAACATGTGGCAATAAATTTAATCCTACAGTTGGATTAAATCATGATGATGATGATGATGATGATGATGATGATGATGAAACATGACCTACTTCGCTGATCTAAAAAAAAAAACCTGAGAAGGTTGCCCATGGTCAGTACCTTTTAGTACTTGTAAGAAAACCAGGAATACTGGTTAGTGCTAGACTGGGAAACTGTCATTTCCCCATTGGAGCCCATTTGGAGGAGAAGTTGGAACTGGGACTGTTCGACAGGGGTGAGGGTGGCACGTCTCCCTTGGCATCAGTAGTAGGATTCAATTTTTTTACTACCGGTTCTGTGGGCGTGGGTTGGTGGGTGTGGCAGGGCTTTTTTCATGATATTTGGCATCCACAGGTTTTACCATACATTCCAACCCTCCTTTCCCAGGGACAGAACCATATCTGATCTCCGAGAAGTAGAGACTATGATGCTTCACAGGTACCATGACAGAACAAGCTGTCTTGCTCGGTCCCACCAGATGACAATCTTTAATAGGGATCTTCTACTGGTCCTGGTAGGACAAGCAGGAAAATATGCACATCGTATTTATATATCATAGATATAACATATATATATATACTGTATGTACTTAAGATCTACAGATTATAAATAAAAACATACAATCATCATCATTTTAGCCCTTGCCTAACCATTGCAGAATAAATACATCCTGAGCTTTCTTTTGCCAGTTGGACCTGCAATATTGATGTTGTTGATCCATCTTATTTTAAAACAATCTTATAAAACAACATCATAGTACAAATAATAAAGGAATTCACCAAGATTAGATTAGTACAATTCAAAGTACAATTGGTACAAGATTACTATGAGTGCAATAAAACAAAAAGAAGATATATCAGAGTCGTAATCAGATAGAAGTGAAATATAAGTGATGGAGTCTATGCCAGGGTGTTCAGAATGGGGTAGATTAATGTGTAGGACAACTGTATATTTGTCTAATTTTTATTAATTTATTAATAAATAATTAGATACTTTTGTAAGCTAGCTAGCTAGATTAATTTTTTCTTTGACTGTAAGAAGTAAAATTTCTTTAACATCTGCGAGGGAGAGCTACATAAACACTCCATAGACAAATGTCTCTCACAAACTAGCTGACAGGATGTGATTTTAATACTCGGCTACGATGCATTGCAAGTAAGTTGCCACTGGAATTAAGGGCGGTGACATGATATTTAGCTAGCAGTGGTTAGGGGCATACAGTATGGCAATGAACACAATTTATCATTATTATGGTAAAAAACACACCCAGTGATAGTGAGCTTATATGGAAAATGAAGTAGATCTATCTAATAGAGTATTATGGGATGGCTTTGCCTTATGTGCTGGTGTGACTATCAAATAACTTTGTAATCAATCAGCAATGCTCTTACTGTTGTTTCCTGTGGCAAATTGTACAAAAATAACTTTCTGTCATACTCCCTGGTGTGAAATTCAGAGGCATACTCATTTGCTTCTGTACAGAACTAAAAGAGTTTTGTCTTTTCTTGATCCTGTGAGGAAATTGATTTCTTTATACTGAGTTCCTGTACCTAACCAATCTTCTGGTTTACAAAGATTTCCTGTAATCCTTGTCAACCAAGATTCCCTGTAAAGGTAGAACAGAGGAGCATGTGGCTCTTCATGTCTCCATATGGGCTGAAACACTGATGTACAGGGGAACATTATATAATAAATTATCAAGTAAAACATTGATCGTCTTCTCAAAAGTCACATTCCTTGTCCCTTTGTTTTTCATCATCCATCCCAATGATGGGAACCATGTTACAAATATTCAATAACAGTGATCTCAGAGGGCATAAGGCAAGGGTGTTTAGGGACTTCATAAAGCCTCAGGCCATCAACTGCCTTCTCCACATCATTGTGATAGGAAAAATAAGACCCACAACTTTATAAACTGTCTGCAAAGACAGAAAGGAAAAGATAATAGGGCAATATTCAGCAGACACTGAAGTCCGTGATGAATGTTTGATTTTCCCTATAAGTTTTCTTCCACAGCTGTCTCTGAACATCAGGAGAAATTTGTATGGTAAATATTTACTAAACCAATAATTCTTACCAAACTATTTCCCTCTGTTGGAAGAAATATCCTTTTGGGTTCAGTTCCAAATGGGGAAAAA